TTGGCTTCCCTTCCCTGCCAGACTGCACCCATCCCAAGCTAAAGGATAATCGGCTAAACAATTAATCATTTAGCTGCCACATCCCTACTTTACAGTCACTGCTACAGCTTTCCACAACAACTCACTCTGAGGCCACCTGTCTCTTCCCATCACATTCTTTCCGAACATGTACTGTGTTTTGTGTGTTGAAGCATCTTGTGTTGGAAAACTGGCAGTTCTTGCTGACTTTTGCCCTATGCCAGAATTCCAGCTTTAAAGTTTGGGTGCGTTTATGAATGGAACATGCTGTTTTCTTTCTGAGTAAGAAATACTTAGTCACCAGAATTTTTGGTTAAAAAAAAGAAGTGGTTCTGCTTATTTTTGCCTTGCAAACACTTTAACACACAGTGGTGCTAAAACAAGTATAAATATACTGTTCCATGAAGGAAGGACATAGAAGAGGATCTGGCTGTTTTCCTGACCTCTCAGCACAAAAGAAAAGAATTCACAAACTACTGAAAAACAGGACTGCAATAACTATGGATTCTTCAGTCTAGTCTGTACCAGATGCTTCAGAGAAAGGTGCAAGAAACCCAGTGGACAAATGGAGAATAATCTGTCTACAGACATCATTTTTTCCACACTCCATTAGTGTATCGCTATGGCCTGAAGCACAAGCATTTATATTTTTTGCAAAAACATTTATCCCAATACCAGCATCATTATATAAACATAACAAAATTCTTATCTTTGATAAACTGCAGCAGTGAAGACCTCAAGATGTGCAACAGTATTTGATTTTTGTCAGTCCCTAATTAACTAAGTGTGTAGTTCCAGGGTCAGCTCAGTACAAATTTTCAAATCCAGGGTTACTAGTTTCTTTCCAATATACTGTATTTTTATTAGCAGCTCAGGCACTTCCTTAGGGTTCTTCGAACTGGAGGCAAGCCATCTAAACCTTTGTAACTTGTAGCTCTTGAATTTATCACTTTGTTTCAGCCACTTCTGTCTTCAACTGCATATCACATTTATTCCACAAAAAGAATAGTTCTCCCTAGCACCCTCTGGTGATCAAGGCTCATGAAAAGAAACTTGCTTATAGAGTTTTCTGCAGTGTCCTAATCCTTAGTCAGTTATCCTTTGCTTCCTTGCTAGTCTATCACAGTTTTGCATTTCAAATGTTCATTTCCAGCAAAGTTAATATACTTGTTTTAAGGTCAGCCCATTCTTCAGATTCATGGCAACCTCTATTTTTATTTGCCTTACCACAGTTCCCAGACAGGTGCAAAACTATTTCTAACATCACCTTCTGACCTAGACACTGAGACTGACATTCCCTTTTTTTGTCCAGCTCTGTGCAAGGAACGAAGAGCTTTTTCCAAGAAAACTTCTCTAGATGCCCTGACATCCAAAACGTGGTTCTACATGTCTAGTGGTTCTCAAACCTTGTAGACTCAAGGCACCCCTTGGAAAATGCCAACTCTTGGCTTTCACTCAGTTTTTGACTACAGAAAATAGAGCAGTTCTTCCGTTGCAAATAACTCAGGAACCATTCTGACCGGTTGTGGTTTATTTGAATGGACTCCTATATGAAATCCATAGGTGTATCATACAAATCATGCACACATGTTTGCACACCTTAGTGCTAATATTGCACAGCACCCTTATAAAGATCCTGCCTCACCCTGGTCGAGAGAATCACTGATCAGAACCAGCTAAGAATAGCTAAATAATACTGTTTCATACTGTTTGCTTTAGACACTTGCTAACATGCATCTGCTGTGATTCTCAGCCACGGTGCCATGCCAAACACAATTTAACAAGATTACAATCTATGATTCAGAGATTTCAGGTAGGAAACGTGTGTTAAAACCATTGTGATGTGATGATCTTTTGAATTCTTTGCAATGGAATTGCTCTTTATTTTTTCTGTAGGTAAAAAACAAGTGAAAACTAAGCTAAGAGTAAATTATAGACCAGTTTATGTGGCCAAATTAATTCTGGCACTTCATAACATTTGAGTTCTTTCAGCCCCACTTCCATATTGTGTTGATATAGTAGTGGATATAAAAAGTTAAGTGAAAAATTAAATCAGGAAATTCAGAGCCTGAAGCTGAGGCATGAACTAACAGAACTCTGAAATGTTTGAATTTCCTTCCTTTACAAATGATCTCATTAAGCACATAAAATTGCAGGACCAGGTACAACCAATGGACTGCTTCCTAAAATTAAACACCACTTTGCTCTTTGTTATCTAGCTGACTATTCAGAGATAAAACCATACTGCAAGGATTTACAAACAACACGCTTTTGTGCTGATTGTTAAAACAAATTACAGTGCCTTAAGGGAGAGCCGCCAGTCTACTTGGAGCTAAATGCCAGTAAACAGGACAATTATACATTGCACGCACTTTTTTGTAAGTATTCAGTGAGGCAGCATCCCTCCCTTTAATACCATCTCCAAAACACATAGCCAGAACAAGTGAACGGACGTGCAGGGTTTATGAAAAAATGAACACAGATTTAGGTTTCACAGAAGAAAAACTACTTTTCATCTCCAGAAGTCCATGACACTCATCTCTAATAAAGGAAAACTAGGTATAAACAGCACCAACAGTTGCAACCACAGCGATTTACCAGAACTCACTCTCTAAAGTACTCAGCTCAAAAGACAGCACAGCGAGGCCATAAAACCATACCGCTTCCAGTGTCAAGCAGCAGTAATGACTGCTTATTCCAAAGAAATCTAAAGGGAAATGCTTTCATGAACCTGTTAGAGACCTTTAGAAAAGGAGCCACTATGTCAGAAGATAAAAGTACTCACGTATGAAACACCTGATGGGTCAATCATGTACAGCTGAGCACCATCATCCTCATCGTAAGATCCCAACATGAAACTGTATTAAGCAAAAGGAAATTAGAAGACTTATACTGTGCTATCAAATCAGATTCACAAAAGTTCAGGGCTGGAAGGAACCTCGTGAGATCATCAGGTCCAGCCCGCCCTGCTCTGGGCAGGAAAGACTGCTGGGATTAAATAATCCCAGAAAGATGTGCGTCCAGTCTCCTTTGGAAGATCTCCAGGGTAGGTGCCTTCACCACCCCTCCTGGGAGTCTATTCCAGTCTGGTCACATGAACTGTGAAGAAGTTTTTCCTTACGTCCAGTATGAAACCTTCTTCTAGGAGTTTATGACCACTTATCCTGGTTTTCCCCGAGGCGCTTTGGTGAATAGTTGTTTGCCTAGCCCCTGATGCTTGCCCCCGATATATTTGTAAGCTGCCACCAAATCCTCCCCTGAAGTCGTCTCTTTTGTAGGCTGAACAGTCCTGTATCTGTCAGTCAGCCTCTCCTCATATGACTTGCTCTTCAGACCTCTAATCATATGAGTGGCTCTTCACTGGAATCCCTCAAGCTTTTCCACATCCTTCTTGAAGTGTGGTGCCCAGAACTGGATGCAGTACTCCAGCTCCAGCCTCACCAATGCTGAGTAGAGCAAGAGAATAACTTCCTTAGTTTTGCTTGAGATGCATCGGTTGTTGCATGCCGGCGTACTTTTTGCTCTGCTAATTGTAGCAAACAATATGCTGGCATGCATCAACCGACGCATAGCTAGAATGAAAGATTTTACTGAGGTCTCATTTTCCTTGCAGCAAAACTTCCCCTACATGCTATCTTCTAAACTTCTTAAACCCTTCTTAAAGTTTAGGGTATTACCACTTACAAAGCTGCTGGCACAATCTCTTTTCAGCAACTGACTCTGCTGGTTTCTTACATTGGTTTTTTGCAGCCTTCAGAATGCCTTTTTTTTTTTTTTTTTTTTTAGTTAAAAGGCAGAAAGGAAGTTTTAAATAAAATCTATATAATATAAATATCTTTATACAGACAAGCTTTTCACTCCAAATTGCACTAAAATGCACTTACTGAGGCATAGATGCTATGTGAAGACTGACTTAAATACCAAACCAGATTTTGGGTGGGCAGTAAATAAAGAGTATACATATATTTGAAAGACATACCTGCAGCCAAAAGGTCTCACGGCACTGTATAGTGTGTAGGCATGTACGTACATGGCCACTCTATCTGCAAGATGCTGTGGGAAAAGGGAGGAAGGGTTTTGAAACACTTCATTTATGACAGTAAACATGCCTCAAGGCGATTTAAATAGATCATCTTGTTAAAAGATCTAAGGAACTATACTGGGAGCACCAGTCACTTACCTTCAGTGGAATATTATAGCCATAGTTAGATCTAAAGTTAGAGGCTTCTTCTCTAGCTATGTCTGCCAAAGAACGTGCATCTGCTAAGAGTCCTGCCACTGCCTGAAATGAAGAGCATTAACAGCCAGTCAAAATGCAGACACCTTTTGTAACTCAGTGAACAAGGTTTAATTCTGTTTGTAAATTGTAGGATAGATTTAGGAGAACACATACAGCGTCAAATAATACTCACCATTCCAACATGTCGATCAACATTAAAAAGACGTTTATTGGAGCCTTCTTCATAAAGTTTGGACAGGACGAGTTTCTCTACTCCAAATACAACACCATCTTTACATCTTATGCCAATTGCTGTACTGAAAGATAAGTCAAATGTAACAACAGTCTGTAAAAAACACTAAAGCTTTAGGAGTGGGGTTGGGAGATTAAATGGTAGTGTTGTCATACAAGTGTGCACAGCAATAAGTACAACAGAATGCCATGATTTCAGTTCTACCTTGAAGATGCATTGCAACCCCTGAAACTTTCTAAAAAGAACAATGTTTTAGCATTTTCCTTTTTCCTACCTTCCCTTTGCCCACATATGGAAACTATTCACACACACTGCACATCTAGAGCTAAAGTTTAGTTTCGAAAATGTGAAAGATGGAAAGCAATTCTCTTGGAGCCTGGACAGCTTTGTTGTAGCTTTGAAATGGGGGCATCTTACAAGGAAACTGTGCTATTTTACATGAGTCTCCATCTCACCCAATGAACACACCAGGGGAACAGAAGCACAGCTCCTAAGTGCATCCAGGTAGTTGGACAAGTATCCCAAGGATGTCTGGACATCAGCTGATCACAAGGATTACAACCCCTGCCTACTCCATTTAGGCATCTCATGCATGTTCCCCGCCAACATACAGAACACGAGAGGAAAACAGAACCTAGCCAACACTACGAGTTCCACCAGCCAAGTGAATTCAAAAGATATTCCTGGAAGACCACATGGAACTGAGTGGTATTTCTGTTATCAAGAACCTGACCACTGTATTAACTACAGGCTGGCACATGCCATTTTAAAAATGAGAAGACAACAGTTTTGGCTGCAAGTTTCAGATTTCAGGATGCCCCATATTTAGTTTTAGAATGGTATTATAAAGGTTGAGGCCCTTAATAATGTCACCAAGTTGGCAATATGTTGTCAAGATGATATACTGCTACTAACTGGAGGTTGTGAACAGTTTATTTCTACAGATCCCTTAGTCGGGATCAGGGCCAGATACGGTCCATGCATACAGACTGACTCAATTCCTCTCAAACACTTTCCTCTCCATTTGCTGGTGACAGTCAAGCCAAGTTGCAAGCTGTACACAACGCATATAAAATTATATTTGCAGGCTGCTTCTTGGACAACATCTGTAAAAACATAGGTACTCTTAAGGAAGCCAACATTGTAGGTTTGGTACATTAACTGGCAACCTCCAATGATGTTATCGCAAGCCTGCGTGGCTTTGGGAAGTCATTTCCCAGCACCTCAATTCACCATCTATACAATGGGCTTTGACAAACTTCCATTATCTCCCATCCAGGAGCAAACCCTGCAATCAGCTTTTGCACCAAAGCATAAGGCTTTATTATCCTTAGTACGCTTTGATAATTTTACTCTTACCCTTTGCATTCTCTCTCAGCATTATTTTATGCTTTTGGTCCTGCCAAAATGGACAGTCATTACATGCCTTATATATTTTATCAGAAAACGTTCCTGACAGAAGGGCTGGGCCACAATTGTTCATCAGTTATTTTGACACTATAATTTTCACTGCTATGTCACCATACTCATCTACTCTAGTTCCACTGGTTTTTGTTCGTTTTTGTTGTGTGTATTTTTTTAAAGAAACTGATGAGGAAAACACATCTGTCTTACCTACTATTCTCCACAGCTTTCATGGCATATTCAACTTGAAATACTCTGCCATCTGGAGAGAACGTGGAAGCCGACAAGTCATACTGTAGAAGACAAACACACACGCTCAGCATAAAAGCGTTATCGATACAGTTCATATTGCAAGCAGCACTAAATCATTCTTCTGTAAAAGTCTTAAATGTTTTGCGAAAAGTAGGATGTGCTTTAACATAGCTTTTGGTGACTGAATAAAGAGGACAAAAGTACAAAACATGTAAATCAACAGTTTCCTTTAATACACAAAGAAACTTAAAATGAATCAGTGTTGTCTGGCTTAATTAAAAGTAATTAAAAAAAAAAATCACTTCTTTCAGGGATAGTCATACTATAGCTGAAACCCGTCAAAGGACAGGGCCCTGCAGGAACCCGAGGGATTCGAGGCTACAGCACAGATAACAGATTCACACGGACTGCAACTTTGTGTGCGGTTCTTAGTAGTATTTTTAACATTTGCAATGCTTTTTTAAAATTGCTCTTCAGGCAGTTCGCAAAGGGAAAGGACGACGACATTGTGGACGGCGCAGCGGTACAGAGAACAACCTCAACGCACTTCCCGGCGGCTCCGTCCGCGTCCCGGGAGTCGGGCAGCGAGCAGAGGCGGGCGGGGGAGCTGGGCGGCTCGGTCCGGGGCTGGTCGCCAGCGACACCTCCTGGCTCAGCAGGAGCAAGAGCGACGCTTGCGTTTTACCACGTGAAGGATGGGAAGAGGAAGATTTCTGTTTAACGGAAGGCTGTTCATCGTGTTTAACTGAACGTGCAAACCCTAAGAAGGGCAGCTTGCACCCAAAAGCTCGCCTGACCTCTCCGCCAACTACAGAGAGCGTCCAATACGAGGCATCACCAAAAAAACCCAACCCAAACCCCGCTTGGTTCCGGCCAGGCCCTCGCCACTCCAGAAAAGCAGCTTTTCAGAACCGACGTGCTCCTGGGACCTTCCGAAAGCACTTCTCGTCGGCACCGTCTTACAAAACACACGCTGCGCCGCCTCGCCCCGCCCCGCCCCGGCCCGGCCGGGCCGGGCCGGGCCCAGCTTCCCCCAGCCTTCCCTTGGCAGAGGGGCGGCCCCCCCCTGCCGGTTCCCGGTGCCTCAGCGGCGCCCCCCCCGGTGCCGATGGAGCTCATGGCGGTGGCGGCGCCAGTCACAGCAGCGCCCCCACTGCCCAACAACACGCGCGCCCATTGGCCCGCGCAACTGGCCAATCAGCTCCGCTGCAGAGTCATGGCCGCGCATGCGCAGCCGCGTTCTGACTTGTTCCTCTTTCCCCGCCCCCCCTCCAAGGGGAGGGCAAACACTGACTTCCGGAGTTACGCGCGCACGCGCAGAGAGGCGTAGAATTCTGAAGAAGCCTCCGGAAGAGGCTGGCTCGCAGCGCCCGGCTAGCTCAGTCGGTAGAGCATGGGACTCTTAATCCCAGGGTCGTGGGTTCGAGCCCCACGTTGGGCGCATAGGTTTTTGCGCTGCCCGGGGAAGGACGCACGTGCTTTTTGTGCCCCGAGCAGTGATGAAAAGCACCTGCCCGGCACTGGTGGGGCTACTAGGCCAGCTCTGCCCCTTGACTCTGCCCTGCCCTGCCCTCGGTGGCACTCGCCCACTCCCTATGCCACAGGGCACACAGCAAGCCCGGTTACAACCCGGTTACAGCTCAGGGCACGAAGTGCACGCAACAACAGCTGACCCTTGCTGGGCCTTCGGGATAATGTCGGCGGGGGCATCTGGACTCACAGGCCTCGGGGTCTGGGACGTGGCTGCGGGGAGCATCCAACCCCCCCC